AGGGGGTTCAGGGTGTGGGTTCCAGGCGGCACTTACTTCAGGTGGCTCCCAGAAGTGGCAGGTATGTACCTGCGGCCCCTAGGCGCAGGGGTGACCAGGGGCCTCTGCGCGCTGCCCCCATCTGCAGGCGCCGTCCCCGCAGCTCCCATTGGCCATGGTTTTAGGCCAATGGGAGCTGTGGAGCCATCACTCAGGGAGGGGGCAGTGCACGGAGCCTCCCTGGCCCCATTTCCACCTAGGGGTTGCAGGGACATACCGGCTGCTTCTGGGAGCCACACAGAGCCCCACTGCACCGCCAGCCAGACTTTTAACGGCCTGGTCAATGATGCTGACCAGAGCAGCCAGGGTCTCTTTTTGACCAGGCATTCCAGTTGAAAATTGGATGCCTGGCAACCCTATACAACCTGTACACTGTAAATTTTGTCATGCTGGGCACCCAGATATATGGTATCCAAAATCACTGGTTACTGATGAAAAGGTAAGTTGTAATTGCCTAGCTCAAAGGCCTTCTTAGTTTCTAACAGTTAACCTCATAGTTCCACACAAATGGCCCTTGATCTTTTCTCCTCAAAACTGTTTCATGGCAGCTAAACTGGATATGTCCAGGGATGATCACATTCTTTAACTACTATCTATTTAGTTATTGATTTTGTTGTTATAAATAGCTCCCATCTGCAGCTTCTGTATATGTATACTAGTTAAATGTGTGTTCAGCAAAATATAAGGAGCCCTGTGCATCTGCCCTGGACCATAAAATAAGCACCTGGGGGTTGAAAAGAGACATTCCAAAAGTTATTCCAAAGGAGGAAACATAAACCTCATCCTTGGTTACATAATGGGCCATTGGACAAGCTCAAAAAAGACCATGCCCACCCTGGTGTGACCCAGGTAAAGATCGTCTCCTCTGCCCTGTTTTCCCTTTGCACTCTCTCTCTCCCATTGGTGGCACAGGGCCGTGCCCACTGGCAGAGTCTGGGCCTGAGCCTTTGCCAGCAGCTTTCTCCATCATCCTTTGCTTCCCAGCCAAAAGCATGTGACTGGATTTTTTCCAATATGTGAACTTCCCTCCTCCTCCCTGACATAAGCACCTTCTCCCTAGCACCTGGCATTAGTACCTCCTTCCTAGCACTTCCTACTCTCAGTGGTTCTCCTCCCCAGCTGGGTTTCCTCTCTGATACCTGCAGGAGAGGTACTGGCAAATCCTCTCCAGCTTCCAACAAAAATGACATATATTATGATTGGGAAATGTCTTTCTTCCAGCTACCTGAAGTCTCCCACACCGGTAATATTTTCATTTTTCATGGGTGCCAGTTAAAGCTGTTGCTCCCTTCTGTTTATGCTGCTTTAGGAGTACACTGCACAACAAGTATAGGATTTGACCTAGGGTTCCTGGAATGCTGGGCCCATTCTTTCTACAGAATATCCTAAGTATGAGCAATCCATGCATATTGCATTGTGATCCTCTCCTCACCCGCTTGCTCCTGATGAGAATTTAGGGTATAAATTGACTGTTGAGAGGGTGAATGTAACTTGTACCTTTGCACCAAAAGGACAATCCAGCTAAATGGTTCAGGAATTTCTTAATTATTTGTGCTATGAACTGTAGGTGTTCACCAAAGGAAATACCTGTTCCTCTGTGTTGCTGTCATTCCTCTGAGGGTACCAAAGTTTCCATATTTAATGTATCTTTTGCTGTCTGTTACTCAGGGGAGCTGTGACTTTCCCGTATCTAGACTGGGGTGATGGTTCAATTACTTTCCCCTGGCATGCTGTTTATTTTAATCATGGTTTTCAGTAGGGCCCAGGAGACTTTTATGAGGCCAGGGTCTAGCTGTGCCCGTATTCCGAAAAAATGATTCAAGGAGGCTGTCACCTGTAACACTCCCATTTGTTGCTGTTATGCCATCTGGATCCAATCACCCTTGCTTTGGACCTATTTCCAAACATTTTGCAATGGCATCCAAGGTCATATTTAGTGATTACGGTCGGCGTCAAGTAAAATCTGTGTGTCTATAACCTTAACAATCAGCTCAAATTTAATAGCCTTTGAAATGTCCCAACTGTAGCTTCTTTGCCTCCTATCCCATGCCTCATTTTTCAGGCCACAGACCCAGCTCTGACCATGATTTACTCTGTGCCTTTTAGCAAGTTTTTAAGAAGAGGGAAAGCTGGAGAACCCCTTGAAAGAGCTGGGAGAAACACAAAGAGAAGAATCTTTGTATGGGGGAAAATGCTTCTCGCTTTTTCTCCCCCCATCTTTGAAATCATTGTTACCATTTTTATTATTCCCTCTGGATCTGTGAAGTGGTGGAAAAGGAAGTTGGCAAGGCCCTGAGAGAACAAAGTGGCGAAGTCCATTTCCTTCCACCGTCAAGTGGGTTTCCATATCTAGACAGTGAATAAAATGGCTGGCAAGGGGCCAGAAGAGAGTTAACAGATTTACAAACGATCAGTGTTTTCTTTGTATTGATTTTCCCAGGACATTTCCTGAACACTGCAAATAGTAGGCAGTTACAATGCACAGTCTGAGTCTCTGATGAATAGCTGGCTCACTAGGGAAGTCGCTCTGGAGTGGGTAACTTTATCTGAAGCACTCTCCTCCAGGATGTAACACACCTGATTGGGAGCACCAGGAAACAAGGAGCCTCCAAATACTCACAAAACACTGAACAGGAGGAAATGCTACTGGGTTGGTAGGGAGGCATGGGTGGCATTAGGTATTGCCATAGCTTGGACATGATCCTGTACCATTAAAGAGAGGTGTAATTTTGTGAAAGTCCAGATGGCAAGATGATTAGGGAAGAGTATATATTCCTTTTTGTTTGTTTGTTTGCTTTGGTACCCAGCCACACATTCCATCTTTTTCCCCTGCCCTCTCTCCCCAAGCTCAGACTGCAGAATTCTGACAACCCACCTACTCACTGAAATGCTACTGTGTGCATTCTGGTTAGATGCAGAAGAGGAAATTAGTCTTTAACTCAGTGTTGTGTGTGCACAGTCTAGACTAGTACATCCCTTTCTGATGCTTTGTATTTGCAGGTCTACATACTGATAGGCTTAAATTTAGGTTCCCATCACCCACCTTGAATTTTCATGAAATTAATACTGAACCCAAACCCAAATAATGTTAAAGTACCTTCTGAAAAGAAAAGCATTTTGTCTTTGCTTCACAAAATATATGGAGAAGGATCTAGTTAGTCTTCAAATTGTCAACTATCACACAGCCAGAAGTTGGCCCTCATACTCTCCCTGTCACTCATCTACCAAACCACTCATCACCTGCATTTTGAGAGTGTGCTGGAGCCACCCAGTAGCAATTCTCAGGTATTGCAAAGAGGAAGTACATAGTGGGTGGATTGTACCAGTATGCTAATAAAATGGTTCCACGGTGTAATGGTTAACACTGTGGACTCTGAATGCAGTGATCTGAGTTCATCTCTTGGTCAGATCTGTATTTCCTTTAGAGGGAAAAGATGGTCCCATGTCTGGGACACAAGCCAGGGACTTGCAAGACCAGATTTCAATTACCTACTCTGCCACAGGCATCCTACGTAACTGTGGACAAGTCACTTAGTCTCTCTATGCCTTAGTTCTCTATCTGTATAATGGGGATGATAGTATTTCCCTGCCTGATGGGCTACTGGGAGGATAAATACTTAGAATATTGTGAGGTACGCTGATGCTGTGATTCTGGGGGCCATATAAGCACCATCCATAGACTTGCCTGTCATGACAATTTAATTGAATGTTTCACAAAGATGGTGAATTGCAGGATATCTAATACAATCTGTGTTCTAGCCCTTATTCCAAGATCAAGGACGTTGAGGTGGAGATATGGATGAAGGGTTGGAGAAATGGAGGGAGGCGAGATAACAGTGAGAAGAGATTGAGAGAGAGAGGCAAGCATGGATGTCAAAGCTGCTAGAAGGAGAAGAGCCAAATCAGAGAAACAAAAAGATCTTGAAGAAAGGAGAGGGCTTTAGAGAAAAAATGAAATCAAGCATTTAAGCAGTGATGTGCTGGAGGGAACAGCTGGGAGCCACTTGATAGGAAGGGTCAGGGTGATGTCCCTGCCTCTTGATGTCCCTGTCTCTCGTTAGTGCTAAACATCCCTGCCAGAGATGATAGATCCACTGTGCTCATGAAGGTCCTGTTCCTGATTCCATTGAAGTCGATGGTTAAAGTTCCAGTGTCTGTATTTGGGCACCACGATAACGGCACATTTTTTTGCCTTTTGAAAAGAGCAGATTCCATCAGTTGGCAGGGATGGTTCCAAGGATGGTGTCTGTGTGCAATGTGGTCATGATGTTGCAAGGTGGTGAGTATCCCATGATGCGCTGAGTACCCTCAGTTCTCACTGACTTCAATGGGAGTTGAAGGTGGCTCAACATCTTGGACGATCCAGCCCTGTATACACGTTAGGAACAAATTATAGACATTTCAAGCAAAGGGCAATTGCTACAAGTTTGTTTGCCAGTGATGCTGCCTCGCTCCTGGTAAGCTGTGAACACGTGCCTTTGTTTAAACAGGAGAAGCAATGAATAGCTATCCCAGTCCCTTCACCGCTCCTCTCTTGTAGGGATTGTGCCCCAAGGACATGGGAGTATACCCCAAGCTAAGTGGAAGGAGGAGGGATATTTTGTAGGAGCCCCTTGTTAAAATATGGATAGGACCCTGCACTTAAGTTCTTCTGAGGGAAAACTGGGACACTGAAAGAGGCCGAGGAAAAGAAGCATAAAGATACAGCAGGGGAAGTGGAGAATGGGAAGAGTGAAAGGAGGACTAAGATATTTGATCCCTAGTTTGTAAAGCTGGACTACTTTCCATTCACGAGGAAGACCTTGAAAAACAAGGTTTGACTATCACTAGCCACTAAAAAAGAGAAATACTGAACACCCATGTAACTCAGCCTGAGGGATTTTAGTTACCTGACGCTTCCCATTAACCCAGGTCAGCAAACAATGTAGTTTGCTCAATAAGGAAAAACAAAAAAACAGAGGTACCACATACAAAACCAGTTTTATTATTATTATTATTATTATATTTTGATGTTTAATGCAATGCTTCAACTAGGAATACAACTCAGCAGAGGTACATACACATATATTGCATGTAATTTTCATTTTGTCTTCAAAACATTTCAAACCCTCATCATCTCAATCCTCGTTAACTGTTATATTGGAGCCTCTCCTTCCTAGCTGGCTATGACGCTCCTCAGCCTGCATAACATGTCCTAATGTAATTGTATAGCAGTCTTTGTTCCCTCTGAACTGAAACATTAAGCACAAATTCCCAGAAATGTCTCTTTACCAAGTGCTTCCTTCACTGTGTGAATGCTGTATATAATATGTATATATCTATACAGTATATATAAATATATATATATATGGTATATATAATAACGTGGGTTAGCTTTACATAGCCAACCATAAAACTTGTGCTTATCTTATTTATATGAGATCAAATGTATGGCATCAAGAATGCTACCAAATTCCAGCAGCCCTGGTTTGTATGCGTCTCATTTCTCAATCTTGCCATATGATTTTGGACACCATTTACATTTAATGCACTTTTTTCATACAGAATATTTCTTTTAAGACAAGAATACTGAATTTTTCAAATTAACAATAGGATTTTCATACTCTTGAGATAAAAAATAATAATAAAAAAATTAGATTTCAAGAGGAGACTAGGCCCCTCCTTGTACATACAGTTTGAAGAGTAATTGAACATTCATTGTAGATATATTTACATTGCAACCTTATCTTGATAATATTACACATATTGTATTATTTCTGTACATAGCCAAGGTATGCTGTTGGTCATGTTAAAACACACTGCTTAAAGGTATTTACAGTTTGAATGTTAGACTCAAGCTCACCAATGACCTCCTCAAAATGGCACCAGAAGTTAAGGGATAAGTCATAAAAAGGTCAGTTTATTACTGACCATGGCACAGTCTCACCTATTATATTTTTATTATTATTATTATCACTATTATGTGCTTCAGAAAAGGATGGATATCTTTGGGGTAGAACTTTAAAGATGGAATCATCTGTGGAACCAAAACCTCTGAGCCTCCCCAGAGCAGATGAAAAGCGGTAATGCCAGAATGCCTTCACACTGCTTGTCCATCTGGAGCTTTGGGAACAGAAAGTTTGTCTTGTTTCCCAGCCTACTGTGCTTTTTTCAGTGCCAGAGGGTGAAACAATGTATATGTTAAACACATGGAAACATACCCTTTGTCATGAAGGGCAGCAGAAACAGGACCTTCCATTTTAATGACTACTACAGTGATACTGCATCTGATACCGCCAGATACCAAAGTCTCCCAGAGAGTCAGTGCAGTTGGGGAGATCTTACAGGAAAAGCTTTTCATGCATGCTCCTTCATAAATACAATTCAGGGGTGAACTTTGCCCACCATATCAAAGAAGAGAAATGGCAGTCTCCATACGTCAGATGAAAGACTAGACAGAGATATGGAGCGGGGGGTGGTCCACTTTTTTTTTCTTTCTTCAGGCAGCAGCAGATTAATGTGTGTGTGTGCCAAATCCACCAGCTACCTCTCTAATTCAAGCACAAGGAACACTGATATGTATGTAGCAGTGCTACTTCTTCCCCTCTTCCATAGTGAAGAAAAGGCCATTATAGAAAATTGAGGGAAGTAAAACTATGAAAGAAAATATTTGCAAGACATTGGTTGCCGTGTGTGGTGCTGATCAAAATCAGACTGGCTCTGGTCACAGTCCAAGTGTTGGGATTCCCTAGTGAAAAAGGCAGTGGAAGTCAGAGAGCACTTAGAATATTTTAACAGTACCTTGGTAGCTCAGGATGGATGACAGGGCCCCCAGTTTGTCATTTTATGATGCACAGACCACTGCATGGTGTTTTGTCATGTAATATTTCATCATGACAATATGTAGTCTCCATTATTACCTATGTTTTTTCTGGTTTGGAGCTGATACACTTTTACAAAGGGGAAAGGAGAGGACTGTCTTGCTTTTGTGTTGCTTTTTCTAAAATTAAAGCATTTAAAAGGGATTTTGATTTGAGGTTACTATCTCCAGTAGTACATCTAAGAACATGGAAGTGAATCAGGCTGACTTGCATGCTACAAAATGGCATGAATCTAGCAGGGCAGAAGTATCAGTATACTAGCACTCCCTATGTCTGAAAGATGAGAGAAACTGCAGATCCATTGCTTAAATGCCTGGGAAGACATTAGTTAAAGCAGCAAAGTGGGAGGAAACATGGCTTTATTTCAAAGAACATGACAGAGGGGGAGAAGTGGGAAAAGAAGGGGAAAAATAAAGTTGGGGGCCTCTACCAGTGTATGGCACTGGGGCAAGGGTTTTTTAAATTAAAAAAATGTTTCTTTTTAAAGTCTACAGTGAAGTGCAACAACATGGACAGAGGATACATGGGCAGAAGTTTTGTTCACAGCCCGGGGCATTATACATGGGGCACAAAAGAGTTGGATAAAAAAAGTCACACCCACTTTTATCATCCTAATTTCAAGTGTTTACTCTTCCACCAGCTGGGTCTACATTAATATTTAGGGGGAGATTTTCAAAGGCACAAAGGGCATTTAGGCACCTAACTCTCATTGACTTTGGTTGCCCAACTCTTCTTTGTGCCTTCGAAAATCTACCCCCTTAAGACAGACCTTTTATTGTCTGGCAATCTGTTCCTTGGTATGAATTTGGCTTCTCGATCAATAAAAGCATTGACTTGTGACTTTCTGAGTTATTCATATGGGGTTTTAAAATAAAAATTGTGGCCAGAATCGGCAGCATATATCAGCGCCACTTCTGGAACACAAAGTTATTTAATGGGCTGGTTAAAGCTAGGTGAATGGCTGCTGTGTGTTGGAAAGGCATAGAGCAGTCAGAGTGGCTGGTGGTTCTGCCAGACAGAGTGGCTGGTGGTTCTGCCAGAGGGGAAAGGCTTGAACATTGTGGCAGTATAAAAGAGTAAAATCCATCAGCAAATGGAGCCTAGGGCAGCCACAAAGCCCTGGGAATGGGAGAGTCTTTAATTAGCCCCAGATACTCGAAATCAAAGCTAAGCAGTGGTGGAAGGGGGGAATCCAGCAGGTTCGCCACCCTGAATTGCAGAGGAGCAACAAGTGCAGATCCAGCTGTGAGGTGAGGTAGAGCAAGGAAGGGGCCCTCTTTGCCTGCCCTGGCCCTTTTATTAACTGTCCTGTACCTCAGCCAGACAATCCAGGAGCCTGCTGCAAACACCACTAAAATCTCCTTCATTGGCTGACTGGTGTCACAGAGTAGCTGGCCTTCTCTTTCAGCCTCTTCCCACACACCCACACTGGCTGCGTAGGCCAGCTTGCCTTAATATTGTCCCAGCATCATAAAGCAACCAAAGCACAGAGGTGAATCTGGGACTTTTACTTCAGAAACAATTTTTTACTGATTTGGCAACTGCTTCTGATGCTATAAAAGAGGACCACTCATCAGGAAGTGAGATGGGAGGAACAGGAATAGGAATTATATTATAAAGGAGATGCATGGGATAGTCCCAAAACATTTCCATGTGATCATCATTTTTTGAAGCAGTCTGAGTGAGTGAGACGTTATCCTAGAGTCCCCTTCCCATAATAAATCAACAGAGGGCTAGTTTATGACCCCTATTTCATCTGCTTTGCACCTCTCTGGCAGCATAGAAACATCTGGAAAATTTGCTTCCCTGGCCATCTGCCACTTTCCTCAGTGTAAGGGAATTTGGAGTGGCATTACAGCCAGCATGTCTGGATGTTCATAGCCTACTTTCCGGGCCTTGGTATGCTGGCTGAGTTGGGACCATGGCAAGGCAAAGAGACTGCTGGGGGATGTTGCAGCTGGTGTAATTTTGTACACACCAGGAGTACTCTAAATTGCTCCTCCAGCCCAGACATCTACTGGCTTTAGGGAAATGAAAAGGTAATTTACAGATGCATTTTTCCCCTCCATGCTATGCTGGGTCTAAAACAACCAGTGTCCAGGATCTGACCCTTCGGCACCAGTCTTTACTGTCATTTGAGAGGAAAAAAGTCTTATATCTTTTGACTTGCTTTTGTTTTGCACGGCCCATTTTTCACAGGGCAACAATCAAAAGCATTTCTACGTCCAAATGGACCCCTGTGATTCCTAATAAATCAAGTAAAAATGCCAAACAGATGGCTGACCAGAATGTTCCTTAGGTTTTTGCACACAGCTGAAAGCAGATTTCTCAATGTTACTTTGGCTGACAGTTGAGATATCTCTACCATTTTCCCCTCTAAAATGATGTTAATGCTCACAAAAGGGGCCATATTGACATGCCTTCAGGCTGTTGTCCTCTCCTCAGAAAGCTGCTATAGACTGGACAGTGACACTTGCAAGTCTTCCTACACTGGACTGAAAGATGTGACTCAATCCTGACCTAGAGGGACTACCTTTATGGGGAAGAAAGAGTGGTTCAGACTCAGTGCCTGGTCATGTCTTGTCCTCTGTCTGGAGCCTGCCAATGAGGGGGAACAAGTAGTGAAAATTGTCTTCCATGTTTCTTTTTCTTAATGAGTCACATGTACAGTTTGCTAAAATTGCATGTAAAGCTCAGCATGTAATGTGAAAAATCCAGCTGGGCTTCTTCTGCCACTGGCATTACAAAGATAATGGGTCTAGTATGACAAAGATAGCTGGTGCTAGGGTTGCTGATGCATGGAGCAGAACAGAATGCAGCTCTTATTTCCACTGTTTCATTGGTTCCTTAGCACCAACAACAGTGGTTTTTGTCAGTCAGTGAAGCTGACAGATTCAGATGACAAATGAGGAGCTAAAATGGGTAGGTGGAAGGCACCATTTTCTTAAGAATCACATTTACAGCCTGCAGAACTATAATCCAAAGGGGAAAGAAGTGAATGTGAAGTATCCTGTAGATTTGGAAGAACAAGGAAAGGCATGGGGAGAGGGATTATAAAACCCAGATAGGTTTTTTTAACCAGTGCCGCTTTGTTTGAAAGAACAAATTACGATGTAGTCATGAGAGACTATTCCTATGGGATCTCACTAATCCACCCCCCAAACTGAATTTAAACCTTACAGATTGTGTGAGGCTTTCTGAGCCTCAGTGTCACAAGGAGGGTATACACAGCATGATGAATAGGAATTTGTCTTGCACCTCACATTAGATGTTAAGGAGAGCAGCACGGCTATCATTCTCATGCATCACACTGAATATTGAAAATTTTATATTGCACATGTATGCTGTATGCTTGTGTGTGTGTGTGTTTGCAGACACATTATTTCATGTTTGGAACTCTAAAGTTTTGAAGAATGTGTGCGTATGTGTATCGGACAGACATTTTACATACAAGTAGGAAACATACACTAAGGGTAAAGTATAGTACACTATGCAGTTTCTGTATCCTTTCAAATGTGCTATCTGTTAATACAATTTGAAATAAAGTCTCTCTTTTCATGGGCTCAAAGATAGTGATGGGTGTTAGGAAGAAGCATTAGAAAGCTGTATGTTGTGTTTCATCTCTTGGCGGGTCTTTGGCACAATGTCCATTTCTCTTTGCATCACACTGTGTCTCATCACATCATGAGATGCAGCAGAATGTCATGCAATGTATCGCTGTACTTTTTAACCTGTGGATGTGCCTCGTGGTGCTAAGTGGATTTGTAATTCGTGTCCTGGTGATGACTTGAGAGTTCAGAATGGAGCCTGGGCACATGTCAGAGGCCCAAGGTTACAAGTTGAACTGTTAGTGGTTTCAGGGCAGAATATACTGCTCCTACTTTCCCCCTTTGGGAATGTGTTATTGCTGGGAGGGAGGAACTGCCGTGGTCTCTTGGAAAGCTGTTCTTTCCTGAAGAAAGGTATAGAAAGTGAACATATTTCACTCTCTATGATTTTTGTCTCTGGATTTTTCACCATTTGGAAGAGAATAAACAACACAGACTGCTGAAACATGGCTAGATAACTTCCTTTAGGCCTTCAAGACACATCAGGTGAAAGTAGCTTTGACAGATATTTAGGGATCAATTTTGCAACCCTTACACTGAGCAGCGCTTCCTTAAGTGAGTAATCACAGTAAAGCTGGACTCATGGGAGTTAATGCTGTTCATTGTAAGGGTTGCAGAATCAGACCCTTAGTGAGCAAGCATTTGTTCTGTTAACCTAATGCTTTGTCCTGTTTGAAGTCCATGGAAATCTTTCCATAGTGCCCCAATCCACAGTTCAGTTGAGCATCTGAAAAGGTTAAATGTTAAGTCATCAAGGTTAATTTCCCTGTAATCCAAAAGGCTGCTATTTTGAAGTTCACTTTGGAAGACTGTAATATAGTAGGATAATGTACCTAGATGACTTAGTTGTCTACTTTTTGGGTGAACATCATTCCAGATGATGGTGAATATTTCTGGATTACAATGAAGGAACCCCACGGAAATGTTACTGTAGAAGGCTACTCTTTGGATAGCAAAATCCACGGGTATACCTTTGAAAGTGTCTGGAACTGTCAATGAGAGGAGGAATATTGACAGATGCAAATCTTGCACGGAATAGCTGTCTACTTTAATCTGATGCACTCTGCCAAATTCACACAGTGCTCAATTTTGCCACAATATCTATCAAATACTGCAAAAGTAGCTATTCTACAGACAGGAGGAGTCAATTCTCTGCAGTAACAGACAATTTTTGGAACATTTTAAAATAATGATATTGCAGGGCCTATATCTGTGTAACCACTGTTTTCCTCCCTGCCCCTTTACTACTGTTATCCCCTGATAGGTAGAGATAATATTGCTTCATGCTGATACAAAAGGAAACATGGCCAGCATTGTATCTTTTCCATAAAGTATACATAGTCCCCACCATATGCCTAAGAAGGACTTTGGCTTCTTCATTCCAGGAACATACCCAGAGTCACTTCAAGTGGGCACAGTAATCTGCATGCAGTTATTCCCTTCCTTAGAACAAATACATTAGTAGGAACCTTCTCTCTGTTGGAAATTAAGATGGACTTTCTTATGTTAACCTTTCACCTCTGGGAGCCACAAGCAAATCCTGGACATAAAGTCTGTGCCTACTGGAAATGGATATAACTCTGTCATTACCTATTAACAACTGCTCTTGCTGGTCTCAACTTACTTCCTTGATTTGGGCCACATGGTTGTTAATTTGATGAAAACTTCTAATTCACAGCAGGCTTTGATTTTCAATCCTTATGCCCTGGGCAGGGAGGTGCAAAAAAGAAGAAAAGGCTGACTGAAGAAAAATTCAACTTCCTGGGGGATAGCACATAAAAGAGCTTAAGTGAGCTAAATTATCAAAGACGTTGGCTTATAAGGGCCTCAAGACACTCTCTGTGGTACAGCAAGCTGGAAAGGACCTCCTTTTTTCCCTTTTATTTTCATTGGCACCATGGGATCAACCCCCCCAGTAGAAGAAAGCTGATATGCTTGGAACAATGGATAGTGAATCATGGGATTCATGGTGAGATAAAGAATATTTTTGTCTGATATATTTTTGGTGATGGGAGAGAGGTAAAGATAATATATTAGCTGTCATAGTTAGCCTACCTTTAAGATTCTCAACATGAGACCCTGACAAAAATAATTGTCAGCTTTTAACTTTGGAAATAGTCTTTGCAAGGTGAGTTTGAATTGCTCAGTGTCCCTCTATTTCATCTTGCCTCCCCTCTCCAGTTAGTTATGTTTTATTTGTTGTCAAAGTGTCCTTACATTTTTTCCTTCAGACAGACAGACACATACACAAAGATTATTGTTATTCTATAAGAATGGACAAAAATCATAGACTCAAAAAGCCCTTCTGCATGATACCAACAGAAACAAGGAACTGTGCCTCAAGTCCACATTCCCTACTGACCACTCATTCAATCACCACTTCCCCAAGATCCACTGATAATAATAATAATTTAAAAAAGGTTTTAAGTGCAGTTCTCAAAGACAGAGCTGACACCCCAGGTCAGTGAATCCACTAGGTTCCTTGATTGCATGTTCCACACTAGAGAATAAAGTGCTATGGCATTGTTTTTTAAAACTTGGAACTTTTCCCCTCTTTCATTTTTTCATTTTTACCTTGTGGCTCCTATGTTCTTGTAATGACACATAAGAAGGTGCTTAAAGGTTTTCTTAAAGGTAGCATTGCAAAGCGCGTAGCAGGCAGGGTTGATGGTGCTGTTGATATAACAGAGCCAGTAACCAATAGTCCATACAGTGTTGGGAATGCAGGAGACGCAGAAGCTGTTGATGAGCACCATCACATTGTATGGTGTCCAGGTAATGATGAAGGCCAAGAGAATAGCTAAGATAGTCCTGGTCACTTTTTTTTCTCGAGAAGGGGGTGGTTTCTTTTTGGCTGGCTGCTTGGTCATCTTGACAATTTTACGGGCCACATTGTTTTGCTTCTCATCCCCATTTTGGCCATTAGTACCTACAATCTCCACGGTGGTGTTGGTTGGGGCACAGCAGTCACCCTTTTGGGACTTAGTAACTATCCTAATGCACGTCAGCTTGGAATTCTCCCCTTTCGAGTGGACTTGGGAGACAGAAGCCTTGGTGGCCTCTTTGGTAGCTTCATCCTCCTTCACATTGGAAGCAACCACGCTGATGGAAGTGGAGTCATTAGAGCTCTCCTTCTCCTCCCCTGGAATGCAGTTCTCTGTCACAGCCTCTCCTGTGGCTTTACCATTCTGAATTTTGCTGTGCTCCAACCCATCCTCACTTGTTGGGATGTTGTTATTGTTTGGTTTCACTATTTTACTTTGGACCAAACTGGGAGAAACTGGATCCTGGGTTTGTGCTGGTTCCTTTTTTCCCTTTTTTATTCTGCTCTTGCTGGCACGAGATATCTGCCAGTAGAGGATGGTCATGATGATAACGGGCAGGTAGAAGGCTGCAATAGCAGTGCCAAAGGTGACAGCAGCATTGGAAAAAAACTGGATGTAGCACTCCCCGTCAGGAACAGTTCTTCCCCCAACAATGAACTGCCAGAACAGAATTGCAGGCGCCCACAAGATGAAGGACAGCACCCAAGCAGCTGCAATCATCATACCCGCCATCTTAGTGGTCCTCTTTACAGGGTACGACAGAGGCTTGGTGACACAAAAATATCTGTCAAAGCTGATGATGAGAAGGTTCATGACAGAGGCATTGCTGACCACATAATCAAGAGCCAGCCACAGGTCACATACCACGGGCCCCAAGGGCCAGTAGCCAATCACAGTGTAAAGTGTGTACAGGTTCATGGAAAAGACACCAATAATCAAGTCGGCACATGCCAAGCTGAACAGGAAGTAGTTGTTGACAGTCTGCAGGTGCCTGTTGACTTTGATGGACACCATGACCAGGATGTTCCCAATGATGGTCACTAGACTGAGAGATCCTGCTACCAGGACTATGAAGACCACCTCAACAGTTTTATAGGGACTCCCCAGTGCCATAACATCCTCGGCAGAGGAGTTTATGTAAGTTGAGTTATTCATTTCTGTGTCTCTAACAAGAAACCTGATGACCAATTATCACTTAAACCTGCAGAGGAAAGAAAACAAAAGAAATATCATTATTAAATTAGCCCTTTGATTCTGGCAAATGGAGCCCTGAAAAAATGTGTATGGAAAAAACTTCAATGTAGCAGATTGTGGTCTGGCAGAACCACACGGGCATGGTTTATCTAAAACATTCTGCTGTTTGCCGTTTTCTATTGGGAATAATATATAGAGGTGATTAAATTAAAGCTTGAACAAGGATGCAAAATTTGGATCCAGATCTAGATTTTGGACACACTAATATGCATATTTATTCAGATCCAAGTTTTTTTCTTGTGACCCATTATAAAACTGAGAACTAATCACAACATTTGGAACTGAATCTCAGTTTCAAGTCCCGTCCCGTCCCGTCCCCCACACCTCCAAAGTTTAGGCATGTTCTGATCCAGGGTTAAGGTTCAAGACCATATCTAAATTAAATCTCTCTTGGGAAGTTCATCAAAGAGTTGTTAAAATCTGGAATGAAGATGAATTTTATTTGGAATTGGATGGTAAAGGGTAATAAGTTTCTCTCTGTCTTGTAAGGTGCGATGAGGAAGGCTTCTATGAGGTCCATAGAAAAAACGGGTGTAATTTCTCCCAATAATTTGCAAATATTACATACCAGTTACTTCTTTTCAGAGTCTGAAAAGAGGCTGGCACTGCATGGGAAACTGAAAATTTTCCCTGCTGCCCAGATGCCCTGCTGATATAAATATGCATAGCTCCATTGAAGTCAATAGAGTTAAGCAATTTCTACCAACTGAGGATCTGTTCATCTAATTAGCATACATACTGATTTGTTTCTATCAAGTCCCCCCCCCCAGATTTCACCAAACTTTTTAAAAGTATTTCTGTATAGTCTCTTTCCGGTTTTTGCATGAAAAAAATGCTTTTTTAACATGAAGAGTTAATTATCTAATGCTTATCCTCTATTTGTCACAATCCTCTGTTTTGTGACATAATAAGTGGTTGAAATCATTGATGTCACAGAGAACTGAGATGTAAGGCATGAAACGATTGCAGGTGAACCATAAAAAAAACCAAAAAATCCAGTTTTGTTCATATTTACCAACCTGTTTTCTGCCTTATAAAACACACTGTCAGCACTCAATAAATAAAAGTAAAATACTAGTAATACACATTTGATAGGTGAACAAGTGTTTTTGGTTATACAGCATCCTTTTCTGTGTCTCCCTCTGAAATCAATACAATGCAACGGAATTGTCAGTGCAGTCTCTGAGTGTACATTATTTATGTGTTGTATTCAAGGGATTATTACGGCATGAAGGCCAGATGTGACAAAGAAGTTAGATTGTTTCTAGTTGGAATGTTTTCCAAAGTTTTCCCAAGGCATCAGATCTTTAAGATGGAGCTTTTAAGTTTGGGTGAGTGACTAAAGGAAGAAAAAAATCCACTTAACTTACATAATGCACGTATACTGCCCTAGGAGATCAAGAGTTTCGTTCTGTGGTACTTGCTACTAACCAGGTGCCATATATGCACATATAATCCATATTTCATAACCAGGATGATCCATTTTCACTAGAATTAAATTACTGCACTTTTTCTTTGGGGCTAGAAAAGATGAAGATGATGGGAGCTGTCAGCACAGTAAATAACCCGTAAACATAAAGAAAAACAAACAAACTTGGGCCTTTGGAGATGTTGGAAGACTGCACCAAGTTTAAGGGTTCTTTGCCTGAGGTCAGTTTACACCATTCTAATTTATATCTGATGCAGAACAACTGACTACAAATGGAGCTTATATATTTGTCTCTAACATTACTATTATCTGAGATTTTTGTTTGGCAAAGGTTGAGCTGATAAGAAAACAGAGCTGGGAAAAAGATTTTCAGACTCTGTTGTGATGAGGGTGGCACAAAACCCTGGATGGACAGACTTTTTTTTCTATTGATCAATCCGTGAGCATTAGGGTGGGGTTGTACAGAAGAAGGGTATTTCAGAGAGAGGGAGAGAAAGAGGCAGAAAAGAAGGGAGAGATCATTTCAATTGTGTGCTTGTTATAGTATGAATAGGTTAAAGGGAATACAACAGAAGAGTCACAAAAGAATAAGAACTTAGATGTAATTTATTAAAAATGCTATAGGTTTAGCAGTTTACTGTATGTATTAGAAATGCCACCCTCCTGCCTCAATGGGTGGGGGAACCTGATGGGCTGATGGTGAAGGGGGGACAATCCCAGCTGCAAGAGAGGGAAAAACTCGCTGAGGGACGCCAGGTAGCTCTTCCCCTCCCCCGGGGAGTCTCTGGAACCCACTGGCCAGCTGGGGGCAAGGGGTGCTGACTGGCCAGCATTCTGTGGCTCCCAGGATTTAACCTGGTGGAGCTTCTTTCAGCTCTATTCTGCCCAAGTAGTGTTGGTCAGAACATTTTCAATGGAGTCTATTTTAGTCAAAATATGCTGTTTTGTCAAAGCCAAAACATTTTGTGGAGGTTTATGGATTTCAACAAAGTTTTCAATGGGAAGATTTCTGAGTTCCAGGGCTCTCTGGTCACTTCTGCCAGAGGCACAAAGAGAGGAGCTGAATTGAAAACTGGACCTTTCCAATCCAAAAATGGACATTTTGACACAATTCCATTTTGTGGAAAACATTTGAAAGTTTTGTCCTTGCTCCTGTGAGGAATGAAAGCAAGTTTTGAAACCTCAAAAGTTGGCGTACATAATTGCTGCCACTCTATTAGCAGCACTTTCCTAGCTGCACTTTCAACTCGCGTTCTTCTTCCTTGGGGAATTTGGGGAATTCAGGAATAGTTCACCTGATCCACATGTTGCAGAGAAATCCAGGTTAATTCTACCTGCCAGAAGCAGGAGGTTGCTTAGCCCTTTCAAAAACAGGCAGACAAGGGACTTTTCTCCTCCAGCACTTCCTCTTTGCACTAAACTCGCCGGCAGTGAGAAAGTCAGTACTAGCTGTGCACTGAAAACAACATGATTCTGCTACTGTTAAAACAGATACTTTTTCTTTTAGGCACAAATACATATAGGGCCAAATTCTGCTATTAATTACAAATTCCTTTGATTTGCATCAATGTAAATAAGAGGAGGCCATTCCTATAATTAATGACTGTGTGTGTTAATAGGAACTAAGGAAGAGACTAGGGCTGAAGAAAAAGGTTGTTACAAATATCTGATTTATTTTTATTATTTTTTGTTGTTATTTGATAGCTGTTGAGCACTGACGGTGTCCACTGTGCTCTAGATGATGCATATACAAACACACGCTCTGCTCTGTGTCTACATCATGATCCAAAGCCCAATGAAGTCACTTAGATGCATCCAGTGACTTCAGTGGGCTTTGGATCAGCCCCACAGTGAGGAATTTGGTACAGATATCGGTGACTACTTTCTCACTGAAATAACAGATTGCACGTTGCTTTTAGACTACTTTTGCTTCAGGCATGGTGTTGGAGTTCAGCAGACAGAAATGGAGGTGGAGGCACTTTAAGTTAGTCTGACCCCTCTTATCATGAGAAGTACCAGATCTTCTTCTTGAACAACCAGAGCTCACCCCTCAGTCCACTGGTATTTGTGTGAGTTGCAAAGGGAGACGCTGACTCTGCTGGCTATCACGGCATGTCCGTGGATAGTAACTTGCTAAGGAGAGTAAGAACAGTAAAGGAAAGGAATCCCACAGTATTCTTGTCAGCAAGTTAAAGAAGTATGGGCTGGATGGATGCACTATAAGGTGGGTGGAAAGTTGGCTAGATTGTCAGGCTCAACGGGTAGCGATCAATGGCTCCATGTCTAGTTGGCAGCCGGTGTCAAGTGGAGTGCCCCAGGGGTCAGTCTGGGGCCGGTTTTGTTCAATATCTTCATAAATTATCTGGAGGATGGTGTGGATTGCACTCTCAGCAAATTTGCGGATGATACTAAACTAGGAGGAGAGGTAGATACGCTGGAGGGCAGGGATAGGATACAGAGGGACCTAGACAAATTGGAGGATTGGGCCAAAAGAAATCTGATGAGGTTCAACAAGGATAAGTGCAGGGTCCTGCACTTAGGACGGAAGAACCCAATGCACCGCTACAGACTAGGGACCGAATGGCTTGGCAGCAGTTCTGCGGAAAAGGACCTAGGGGTGACAGTGGATGAGAAGCTGGATAGGAGTCAGCAGTGTGCCCTTGTTGCCAAGAAGGCCAATGGCATTTTGGGATGTATAAGTAGGGGCATAGCCAGCAGATCGAGGGACGTGATCGTCCCCCTCTATTCGGCATTGGTGAGGCTTCATCTGGAGTACTGTGTCCAGTTTTGGGCCCCACACTACAAGAAGGATGTGGATAAATTGGAGAGAGTCCAGCGAAGGGCAACAAAAATGATTAGGGGTCTGGAACACATGACTTATGAGGAGAGGCTGAGGGAACTGGGATTGTTTAGTCTGCAGAAGAGAAGAATGAGGGGGGATTTGATAGGTGCTTTCAACTACCTGAGAGGTGGTTCCAGAGAGGATGGTTCTAGACTATTCTCAGTGGTAGAAAAGGACAGGACAAGGAGTAATGGTCTCAAGTTGCAGTGGGGGAGGTTTAGGTTGGATATTAGGAAAAACTTTTTCATTAGGAGGGTGGTGAAACACTGGAATGCGTTACCTAGGGAGGTGGTAGAATCTCCTTCCTTAGAAGTTTTTAAGGTCAGGCTTGACAAAGCCCTGGCTGGGATGATTTAATTGGGGATTGGTCCTGCTTTGAGCAGGGCATTGGACTAGATGACCTCCTGAGGTCCCTTCCAACCCTGATATTCTATGATTCTATGATTCATTTCACTTTTTGACATGAAAGGTAATTGGATAAATTCTCAGGATTATGATTTTTAAACATGTGGCTTTATGGTTTGTAAACACCATGATCACTATGTGAAAATGTCCAGTGCAATGAAAATTCACATGTAAAAATGCATATGTTAATGAGTTAATTGGAAAGCTTTAGTAGTGAAATCTTTCCTCCACATCCCCCATCTCTGCCGAATAACTTCACTATGCAGTAAAT